AAGGAACCGCTGGAGTCGGGAGCTCAGGGAACGACAGGCACACGAGCCGTGAAAGAGCCTGATTCAAGGCGCTGCGGGAACTAGGTGAGTGTCAGAATACATCAATCTCCCGGTTTCTGTATCAGGCCCAGAGGCGATTACACGCGCCGCAAACTCATGCACATGTATGTTTGTGTGCGTGGGTTTATGTTTATCACAGTCTCTGTTAACACCAGCGTCAGGGAAGCAGACTGTGAAGATGCTCCCATCATTTTCACAAAACACATTTACAGAGTTCACTGACACCAACATCCATCTGGAATAAATTACAAGCATTTGTTTCTGTCTACCTTTCGATTACTGAATCCACACTATAGATTGCATGATTAATCAAAATAAAACCAAAATATGTCTTAGTGCAATTACCGTAAATGCAGACAGATAGATTATAGACAGACAGACAGATGGATAGATGGATAGATGGATGGATGATAGTGCTCGTCACATGAAGCACGTATAGAATCCATTCACAGCTGAGAGGCTGACATTCACATATTGCAGCTAACGATGCATCTCTATAAGCAAAAAAAAATGCAGTCAATCTTTTAATTCTACAGTGAATAATAGAATAGTAATATTTTCTGAGATTTTTTAACTCATTTAATCACTGACTTTGGAGACGTCATGCATTTATTGAACTTTTAAAATGAATAAATAAAATAAAATAAAATAAAAAAGTGGATTTCCTTGAATGTTAAATATAATTCAATTGAAAAAAATAAAAAATAAATAAATAAATAAATTTAACAGTGGATTTCTTGTTTTTATTTATTATTATTATTATTATTATTATTTCATAGCCATATTAATATACAATCAAACAATTTTAGCGAAATTGTCCATCCCTAAAAACAGAGCAAACAGGGATTTTTTTATTTATTTCAATTTAAATCACAACCAAAAATCTTATTGTCAGGGATTCATCACAGTCACTTCAGTCGCCATCCAGGATAATCACCCGATCACAGTCACCTGAGTTCTGATCACCCGCACCTGCTGTCACCAATCAAGCCACATATACACACACATCACA